GTCTTGTCGGTACTGGCTTTCACTGCTTGTTGGCTGGCACCGACAGAGGCGAAGTAGGCGATTACCTGAAACAAAACAAATCTGCTTAAAACACTTGAAACTGGTGTCTTGATGTCGTACTTTCTTGGTGTTTTCCGTTTTTCCTGCTCCAGATTCTCCTGTGATGAGCATAGACTGGTTCTCATGATCCATAAGCATGTTTCGGTACGCCTCATCGGAAACGGCGAACAAATGAGGAGGCATTTCAGTCCTACGTTTGCCCATGTACATCCTCGCCACCGATTCTGTGTAGATAGGGAGCCGCTTGTATGGATTAATCACCACACAGAAAAGTCCGGAGTATGTCTGAAATATAGAATAATACTTTAATGGTATTGCTTTATTGAACTGCACACGGGGTTTAATAGTTTATTGGCTTACGGTTCGACAAATTGGCCTTCTTCGGACCCAAGAAGGATGGGAGACCTTCAGTTCCCCTCCTGGGGTCAGGTCACCAGAGCTGCGCGATCATTGAAGCCTAAGGTTAAGCTTGGGTTTAGGCTTAGGCTTATGCTTACACATTGGCTTATGCTTAAGCCTATGATTGGGCCTAGGCTTAGTCCTAAGCTTGCTTCGAGCAAATGAGTGGTGTCTCAATTTTAGGTGACCTGACCTGAGGAGAGAACTGCAACGTACCCTAAAAGGATGAAAGTCAAGTTTAATTCGTCCAAAAATCTTTTCACAGGTACTAGATCTTCGGCACCTGCTAATCATCGCGTCATCGTAAGGGACAGGAAACCCGTACCTTTACCAGATCCACTGGATCAGGTACAAAAGAAACTTCGGGTGGACCGTATTCAGGGTACCGGTTGGAAAGCCACCCCTATATAGGGGGCTAAATCCCACAGTACGGTAATTGACAGGTATTCTTTCCTCCGGTTCATTTTTTGAGAGTAAAAATTATTTTGATCAGTGTTTCTTTGCTAATTTTGTCCCTCGCGCTTTTCGATTTCTGCTGGGGATCATGGGAAGAGGATATGAGTGGGCGGCGCGTGGGCAAACTGGATGTGGGCCTGTGTTTGCACGTCTCTCATCCGCCAAACTCTTCTCAGAACAATGGCGCAATCGACTCTATCGACCATCACTCGACACACTGTTCCTAACGATAAAATACACTCGACACACAAATGAGCACGTTCTGGTTGAGTTTTTGCGAGGCCTTGGAGAAAGCAAAGTTCGGCTCGGGGATTAATGGACTTGGATGTTGCTGAAAAGGCAGGCAATCTTCAGGGATGGGATATCCCAAACGCGGTCATAGCTTCCTATGTTGGATGCATGTGAGCCTCTCTCCCCCTTCTATTCCATTTTCGGACCATATTGAAAACTTTGTTCGTAATAAAAATGCCGCCTCCCTTTTCCCAATGGGGTTGGTTTGGCGAAGGCCTTCCCAAAGAGATCTTGGAATTCGAACAGCTCTAAAGCGCGTTGGCTATCGCACTCCTTTGAACGCAATAGCATGCCACGCTAGATAAGCATGTGCTGCATCACGAGCTCTGAGTTGTAGAGCACGGACGCGTGCATTGAGGCGGTGAGCTTGAGCATGTCTGTGGAGAGGGCACCGGGTGGTTTCTCCCGTCCTTTTCGAATTTGGTGGATTCATCTCTGCACGCGCATCTTTCCGGTATAAGTTTTCTAAATAAATATGCATGGACAGAAAAATACGAAGTCCAGGAAATTTGCGCTGTCGCAATGCGATGGAGGAATTGCAGGGGCAGTGCACTTGAAACCGCGTAAAACATCTCCTTTATGTTGAAACCGAGACTACTTCTTGGATGGAGGAGAAGAGGCTCCAGATCGTGAGCAATTTTTTTATTCCCCGATGTTTCTACTCCCTCCTGGACTTATTGAAACGAACCTGTTGACTACCTATTATCTTTTATCTATAGATTGTACTTTTTGTTTTACTAGTCCAGAAATAAGCCCCCAGTGTTTTGGTGCGATAGGCCGAAAGTTCAGGACTACTATTACTATAGTAGGCTTCGGGCTCAATGGAAACGGACCTCTTTGTCACCGATGATCACGACAGCATTGTCACCTTTGGTGGACTTAATTTCTCCAGCCACGTAGCCTTCTTCCGGATCTGGAACCCATACGCTCTTCTTTGAGTCGTATGGTTGAGATTGGTCCTGAATAAAACTGATTTTGGCGAAAATTTGACGAGTGAATATCAAAAGCGGATTCAGCGATCAGTCAATGTCAGTATAAAAAATTAACCTTGAGCTGCTGCTCGCGAGACCTCTTGAGGTACTGCCATCCGGGGTCCTTTTCGTACTCACTCAGATTGGCCATGTCGTTCGTCGGCGGCTAAGGCGACAGAAATGCTCCACCACTGGATGCTGAAATCTTTGCGTTTTTTCCGCCGCCCTCCTCAGGACAGGACGGGACCGCCTTGCTGCCTCTTGAGATTGTGCCGTAAGTTGTGCGGATTGCATGTTGGTATAAGCCGAGCGCACTGTGCTCGCACGCATATCCATGCAGCTCGACAAAACTGCTGGTTCCACGGAGCGGGGTTTTCACTGAACCACCCTCAAATCCGCAGGAAAAACTGAGACCGATTAAGAATTTAACTGTCATTCTGTGTTCTTCTACCGTATCCAGCATGCCGATCGAATTGAGGCTGAGGGACAGACAGGGGGTGTTCAGGGAAATGAAGAGATCGCTCGACACATTCATCAATCTGAATGATTTCAAGTGTTACGAGCTCGGCTCTCATTCAAAATAGTAGTAGGTTTTGACTTTGTATTTGGCCTACATCAGGGGTCAGCACGACCCCTAAATTTAGTCACAACAAATTTCTATTTTCGCTCAGCGGAAAAAAGCCCAAGGTCGGTGCTTTGACCGCTAAATGCCCACATGTACAACTCTGAGTTGTTTAGCTGTGACTTTCACCTGAAAGATTTCGAGTGTTTTCACGCCCTCGGCTCCCCCTCAAAACAATAGTGGATTTTGACTTTGTATTTAGCCTACCCCAGAGGTCAACACAAGTTCAGCACTGGTTTTTAGCTTTTGCCAGCGGCAGAAATTGCCCAAGTCGGTGTGTTTGACCACTAAGTTCCCACTGTATAACATTGGAATGTTTGGTTGACCTTTAATTCGGGATTTGATCACTGAGCCATGCGGCCTCTCTCTCAACAGCTTTCAGCCTTGAAAAGAGTAGGAAACGGTACTTTGGTGCATACCGTTCCATCCATTAATGGAAGGCTCAGCTGCTGCTAGGGATGAAGTGCTGCCACTGTACTGCAGTGTCAGCACCAGAAAACAAAGTACTGACGAGTGTGACAATCTGTCAGATTTCCGTTTGTCGGTAAACAAAGCGAACGTTTTGTCATAGAATCAATACACATGACGCTTGCAATGAGACCAGTACATGCGACTGTGCTACCTTTCAGGAGTGACAACGGCCCTTATGTTTCCTACGCTTTCTCAGAGAAAGCTGAAAAAATTGGTAAAGCATCTGTTGAGGTCCGTTAGGGAAGAAGGGATGAATCCTTGCAAGCTGTTGAATTCTTTTGCGCTGTTCTTCACCAGCTCAACGTCGATTTCACTTTCTCTCGTTCCATTATGCTACAAACGTTTTACTTCAAGAGTGAAAGCCATAATAAAAATTCGAAATAAACTTTTAAAGTAGAACGTGCCCTCAAAAAACACAAATGAAAAAAAAGCACTAAAACACTTGCCAAGTATACATAACCATTTTTATCCAAGTTGTGGAAACCATTGCACTCCTTTTGGGTAATGCTGACCGCTTCCGATAACCTGAGCGGGTAAGGGGGATTCTCGAAGAGCTTCGTAAATGAAGGCAGTGGCTCATTCAGGTCGAACTGTAGTTTTTACTACAGTAACCCCTCCTCCATGTCACACTTAATGCAAATTTTTAGTGTCGGAATTGTACGAAGCGTTTGCAGAAAAAAGGGCGTGTTCAAGGAATGACTCAATTTTCACGACATTTTCAACTTTCACACTCACTCGAATCGACGTATTGGCTCATCTCTTGATTAGTCGTCTCATCGATCTCTCAGAAAACTCTGTCGACGGTAAGACAGAACGAAGAACAAGAAAGACGCTCTCGACGGTAAGGCGGAATGGGAGGCTCACGCAGGAGCAGTTTGCACTTTTCCTGCTGAATGGTGCTATTCTGCACCACAGCTGTCCTTCCCCAACTTTGTACACTCTTTTTCGGGGATGTAATGGGCTTCCTTGAGAATTGCTAGATGCTGGCGATCCTGGGATTTCTTGGGTGGTAAGAAAACTGTTAAGAGAATCTTTTAAGTCAGAAAGTTGAATTTTATAAAGATCCGAAGAACGGTTAAGCTCATGCTTGGGCTATCTATAAGAATGTGTTTCCCTTTTTGAGGGACCCGATAACGGCCTGCCGCAAGGCCACGTTAGTTTTTACGGATGCATCATGTGGTGACGCCGAACACAGATCGGTCGCGCTACTGTAGGCTTATGCGAAAGCAGAGGTAAGCGGGGGCCTAAAGTAGGTTGTCCTGTATTCATTCGATACAAGAAGAGATTTCCGGTTGACGACAACTTCGTAACCCGCCTTTCCGCTTTAAAACTAGGGTGCAAAGAATGAATGGAAGCTGCAGTGAAATCATGGAAAAATGCGGAACAACAACCCCGAGCAAGGATGTGGCTATATTTAGGGGAAGGGGTCTCGGGACGAGTGAACCATCTGTAAGCCATCCATCAAATAGTAAGCTTATGAAAATTAAGACAAAGTGTATGTAAAATTTATTGTAGGTTTGTCAAAAATCCACTCGTCCAGGTCCTGGGAAAGATATGTTATTCCACATTGCTGAGAGTAATAACAGGCGATTTAAGATATGCTGAACGTAACAAACACAAAAGAAAATAATCGTTGTGCCAGCGACCATGTGGCTGCACGCCGTACGTAATGGGACTTAAAAAGCGCTCCGATATCGGATAGTTCTGGATTCGAATTTTGCATCTCAACATTGTGAGCTGGCCTTGTACGTGATAAGCATTATTCACTTATGCAGAGCTGATCGATTATAGAAAGAGGCTTCAAACAAAAAAGTTGGCTCAGAGGTGACCGCATGTACTTTGGACGCTCAATTCACTTTTCACATGTCTCATTCAGTAGCATTGTGAGGATTTAGTTGAATTTGATTATTTTTCTGGCGGCCCACCAGCTCTTTTAGAGCCTTAGCGTCTTCTAAATTTTTGGGTGAGCAGTGAGTTACTGAGTAAACGTGTGTCCAATGCTCTCGATCATTCTTTTTCATGACTGCTAACGATTCTGTGGATTCGGGGCACATCATATTTCTTGCAAGGGGTGGGACATCGATGTGTCCAAAGTATGGCCTTGATCCATTGACAACAACATACATGGTGATTCATTACTCGGCAACATGGATAAACGTATTGTCATGAAACCTGTAAACGCTAATAAGGGAAAGTGCAGAGTTCGAAGTGTGCTTTTGACAAAACGTAGAAGATGAAAAACAAAGACTACCATCATCTAATTCTATATATCAGGCCTGTTTTTCGAAGTTGCTACTACTTAAGACGTAAACACACTCACAATACAGACTGGGAGGCGGGAAAGAGCAACCCGACACGACCGCCAATACAAACCTACGCTAGAAACAAAATTCCACCAACGACAAAAAACCCCAAGATACAAGCGAAGCTTCAGGGGCTTTCGCTTGTATCTTAATGTAGGCAACTTCACTGACCGTGGCATACGGATAGGCGGCGTTGAGCTCATCTGGAGTCTCCTGAAGCGAGTTGTCTACAGATTTTTCTAGTTCAATGATTCAAGGGCGATTTTCGTCTTTTAGTTACCCACGGATAGTGATCCTACGAGTTTAAACGGAGTGAAACTATTCGGCGTAACCAAGACTCATCTTAGTGTCGTTATTTCTTTTCACCACGAGTTTTCCGGACGCACCATTATTTAAGTCAGAATCGGGCGTAGTGATCAACAGAGTATAGACGGAATGGACTATTTATCATTTCCCATTTACCAGTTTGAGTGGAAACCTAGTACGATTAAAGCTAGGAATTTTTTGAGTCGAAAAAGAGAGGTAGGTCGGTTTTGACATCATCTGACAAATCATCCCTCTCACTTGCTAAAGTTTGGGGCTGGACAAAAGAAGTATACAGTTAGTTAGAGTAGGGTCTGCACTGTATGGTGGAAAAGTTATAACTTACCAGCTCAACTGGACAATTTTTCCCGGAGTTTTTTTGCCACATAGGGTCAAAAACGCACCCTTTTTGAGCACACGTGAGTAGCAGATGAGCACATTTATTAGAATTTCTTGTGCAATCAACTTCGTTAAAGCGTTTGTGCATCATCGATCAGTCACTGCTAAGGTGTCCTACCATTTCAGCACAAGACTGGTGCAGCCCCGTCTCGACTGATTTAACTAGGGCCACCTTTTTGACGACGATTGCGGGCATCACTTCAAAGACTTCACTGTCTTTTGAGAAAACTGTGAAAAACCGATGAGCATTTTAAATGGTAGTATTAATCGCTCTCATCTTCGGCTCTCGGGAGGCTCTAACGAAGACGACAAAGTTGGAAATTAGCCGAGTACAACTTGCGTTGTCATCTTTGTTCGCTGTAACACTTGCTTTGCTTGCTTACAACAAGCTTGCTTAAAAGTACTTTATGGGGGATTACTTTATGGGATGATTTACGAAAGTGGTCTGGTTCACTCAAAGGCAGTGATCACGATGGTTGGAGATCATTGGTGGGAGTGTTGGGAAGCGGTTCCAATTACAAAACCTAGCGCGCTGAGGGCCTGTCTACCAATGACGTTCATTAAGGCCAAAAAAATCTCACCGTCCTCCAGCTGGTGTGGTCACCTACCTTCAAGATGATTTCTTGCGCCCTACTCCCTCCACCCTTGAACGTTCCGTGGGCCACTATGACTCCTTCCGATTTGAACTCGGCCTAGGACGGTTGATCTTCCCGGGGATCCCTTCGTGGTTGGAGTTTAGCTCATTACTTTCAGTGTACCAACAGATCTCTAACTTGAAATAGGCTAGGGTCGACGCTGTTTACTGTTTGCTCTGCTCCACCCTTGTAGCCATTCCCTTGGCATCTGTGCTAGCTCCAAATGAGTTTCTTCAACGATTAGAATACAAAGCGATAGACGTGCTTCGCAATTTCCTTCACGAATCAGCATTCCACCTAGACTTGTTGAAGTGGAGTAGTGCAACAGCAACTCGTCAAAACAAAGTATTTTGCATTCGTTTAATCTTTACCTATACTTGCCGTTTTTCCAAGAAAATGAGCATTTCACAGAAAACAA